CCAGGCGCCGGCGCCGCAACGTGACGGCGCCTCGCCTCGCCCCGCCCCTCCTTTCGGGCCGCACTTCCGGCCGGCACGGCGCAGGCGCGAGACTTGCGATCTCGCGGGAAGCGGCGGAGGTGGTTGGCGGCCTGCGAGTAGCCGACGCTCGGCGTCCCTGAAGGAGGGCGGAATGGAGAAGCGGGGCCGGGGCGCGGCGGCGCCCTCGAACCTGGCACCTCAGCAGCCATCCGCGGGGCCTCGGAAAGAGAGGAGGCCTAGCATGTTCGAGAAGGAGGCAGTGAGTGCGGCGGCGGCTCCGTCGGGCGCTCCCTGTCGCCGAAGCCCGTGTCCACTGGCCGGGGGAGCAGGGCTCTTCCGGAGGCGACCCGAGCCCGAGCGTGGGCCGGAGCGCTGCGATTGTTGTGGTTCAGACCTTGGAGCAAGGGCTACGTTCACCGATGGGGAGAGCTTTTGCGAGAGCTTCAGCTCTCTTCACTTGCTCAGCTTGCAGATTTCCTAAGAGTAGCATAAGAGGTTACTGCATAATTTTAGTATATTTAGTGCCGTCCAACAAACCAGAGGCAGTTTTACCAGCCACAGATGAGCGTATGTGTGCTGTATTAAAAAAGGGAAAATATCTGATCTACTAAGCAGAATAATGAGATATTTTCAGATTTTAAAAACAGCAGCAGACTCAGTAGTTGAAGAATATAGAGGGGGAAAAATGTGGCGCTTATGTCCACTAACGTCTAAAATTGAAAATGTCATTCGATTTTATTGGTGGTATTACACCAGGATTTCTATAGTCTGAAACTATTGTAATCAAAATTCCCATCTTTTATTGAGACAGGAAAAAAAGAATTATTCCAAGGATACAAAATTGTAATGATAGAGCTGAGACTAGATACTGTGTTGTGGTCCACTTATAATGGTTTCTTTTCACACCTACTTGATGGGACCCATAATTGATAGAATGAAGGAGAGAGAACAGGCAAAACACTCATTTTGAAGATCCTAAAACATTTCAAACAAAAAGAATTCTCAAAATAGTCATAGCAACATTTCAGGTTCTAATAACGGCTCTTTGGTGTCTGCGTTTTACAGAAGAAAGAACAAACTAAGGGAAAAAATAGGCAAAGTTTACTCAAGAAGAAAAAGCAAGGCTAGGAACCTTACTCTATTGGACTTTAAATTTTATGCTCCCAGAAACTGCTGTATTCCTGGAAATAATTCTGAGTAACAGGTTGCCTGGAGTTTAAAAAAAAATCTATTTTGAGGCAGACAAAGGTGTCTTTTATAAACTTACCGCATACAAAAGATCTGAAGTGGTCTTGAAAAGTAGGTAAGCCTGAATCCAAAGGGAGATGCATAGGTATGCTTGGTATATAGGCTAAAATCTAGGACTAAAGGGTCATGGACCAAGGCAGTTCTTGCCGATTTGATATGGTTGGGATCAATACAGCTGTCTTTAAAATTTAGCTTCCAGAGGTAAAAAATTTAAATAGACCAATTACTGGAAAGAGACCGAGAAAGGATTCTGCAAATGCTCATTATATGTACCTGAGGACGATGAGTGTGCTAATGAGTCATGTCTAACTTTCAGGTAACTGATAATTCCCATGTTCCTGAGCATAGGAAAAATCAGGACACAGAATTTAATCAGTATAAACATCTTTTAATTTTCTGGCATCCATTTTTTTTTTCTAGTATCTCAATTTTCCTTTGTAGAATTAACTAATTTCCTAATGGATATAGTTTTGGTGGGACTGTCAGTCAATTTCCTTAACTTTGCGGTGAAGATAAGACCAAAACTAGGCTAATTAGATGAACCGTTTCTGGAATAATGCAAGGAAATGGTTAAGATTAATTCAAAATAAGGATGGCATGCTGAAATGCCTCATTGTCTAGTAATTTAACTTTCTCTTTTATTCTGTGGAATATCTTTCCAATTACATTTTTGCTTAACAAGGAGTTAGTTCTTATTGCTTGCAACCAAAGATCCCAAAACTTTAGATTATCAAAAATTGAAAACTTGATTAGTCTCACTTGAATACATATATTTGAAAATCATAAATCCTAGCAAATAGCATTTAGAAATACATTAATGTAATGGCATCTTATGATCAAGCTTAGTTTGTTCTAGGATGATAATTAGGCTCAGTGTAAGGAAATGGGTTAAATAATTAAATTCAGGTGTTTTTAGTAGCTGCAAAAATTGATTATATTTTAAATCTATTCCTAATTTTAGAAGTGATTACTAAGATTTTCCCTTAATAAAAGGGTAAAATGCTCTTAGAATACTAAATTAAGCCAATAAGATATAAGGAAAAAATGGTAAGAGACGTGAGTTTTCAGCGTATTGGAATCTCTAAGTGTCATTTTCTAACCATGCGTGCATGCTCTTTCTCCAAGAGAATCATTGCATTTGGGAGTTGTATCCCTTAAATATGTTGGAAAAGGAGATGGCAATTGACCCTGGAGACAAGCATTCTCTTAATAATTTTTAAAAAAAAGGGTTTTGTTTTTTAAGTGGTTTAGGGAGTTGACAATGCCTCTCTTCCCCAGCTAAAACTTAAAGCAATCTGATAGATGATCAAAACAGCAAATTTGTTTCTGATGAGGGACTTCTTCTGTCAGCCAACATGGAATAACTCCTATGAGAAGCTACTGAAAATAACAAAATATATGAAGCAGTTGTTTCCATTGGTTGGATATAAGGCAGGACAGGGTAGTTTTCTCTGAGGGAGGAGAAATAGGAAAGGTAAGCCCCAAGATTCCCTTTAACTTACTGAGGAATCCCAGCCCACATCTTATGGAGAGGTCTCCCTTAGTTCAGAAGCATTTGCGAGCCAGGGTAGGTCACAGTGGCATGAGTCTGCAGAATACAGTATTAAGAGACAGCTGTAGAAATAGCTCCAGATATCTGCAGAGGATTTTCCTCAAATTTCCAGCATAGTGAACTAGTACATCTGGTGTGAAAACTACCTGTGGCCAAAAAAAGAACCACCCAAAAGGAGCAGAAAAAGGAAACCTCTGACTCACACAAATAAGTTTGTGTTCCCGCCAGTAAGAGTGGAAAGCCATGTAAATCATTGGGCATTGGTTACAGTGCTAAGTGTATTATCTCAGTAGTGGGGGGTGGAGGTGGGGGAGGAGTAGCCCTAGACTTAAAGATTTCTCTAGTCTGGCCTATCAAAGCTTAAAAGCAAGCCTCAAGAAGGTAGTAACTGTTTCCAAGTTACTACCTTCTAGAAGAAAGCTCAAGAATGCTTATGGGATTTCAAAAATATACAACAAATAAGGTGAAATTCACAATGTCTGGTGTCCAACTAAATACTAGCAGACCTATAGAAAAGCAGGAAAATACAACCAAGAAACAATAAATACGCCCAGAAATGATGCAAAGGTAGAATTACTATAAAAAGACACAAAAGTAATTATTATAAAATAGTTATTGTATTAAATTAGTTTTTATTAAATTAAAGCACCTAAGTAATTAAATTATAAAACATTATTACAATCTATATGTTCAAGCATGTAGAGAAAAGATCGATCATTTTAAATCCAAACTGCTACAGATGAAAAATATGATGTCAGAGATGTAAAATACACTGAATGGCATTAACAGCAGATTGGACTGCAAAACAAAGGATTAGTGAACTCATAGACAGCAATAAGAAAACCTGAGGAAAAAATATTAGGAGACATCAACGAGCTACGGGGAAATTTCAGGCAAAAATTTTCAGTCCCCAAGTGAAGAGAGGAAACTGGAAAGTCAAAAAATATTTGAAGAATTAATGAGAAATTTCTAAATTTGAAGAAGCTCGATGAACTTCAAGCAAAAGAAAGAAAATTATGCTGAGACATGCAGTAATTGCTTAAAATCAGTGACATAAAACTAGAAAATCAACTAGGAAAAAAAAATAGAAAGGAACAAAGAAGAAATGACAGCAGACCTTTCAGAAAGAATGCAAGCCAAACAAGACATCTTTAAATTTCTGAAAGATGCTTGAGGAAAAAAACACCAACCTAGAATTCTATACTCAGTGAAGATAATCTTTCAAAAAACAAAGAGAAAATGAGTTTTTCAGACATATGAAAGCTAAAAGAATTCCTTACCAACAGACCCACACTATCAGAAATGTTAAAGGAAGGCTTTCAAGAGGAATAGCATAGGAGATGTAAATCTAGACAAAGAATAGAAAGCAGTGTGTGAGTGGTAAATACGTTGATAAGTGTACAGATTTTTCTTATTTTTAAATTTATTTTAAGATAAATTACTGATGAAATCCAAAGTAATAACGTATTGTTGAGTTTATAGCACAAAGACCAGAGGTGGGGGGAGGGGGAGGAAGTATACCATTGCAAAGCACTCATGCTATATATGAAGTCATTTAATATGATTTGAAGGTTAACTGTTAAGTTAAAGATATATACTATTAACCCTAAAACCACTACAGGAAAAGAATAAAGCTAATAGGTTAACAAATGACATGAGATGGAGTCATTAAAAATAATTCAAAAGCACAAAAAATACAAGGAACAAAGAACAGGACAAATAGGAAAACAAGAAATATGGGTTTAAACAAATGTCAACCCCATTAAATGCAAATGTTATAAACATCCCAATTAAAATTCAGAGATTAATGGACTGGTTATAAAAACAAAATGAAACGATAAACTGTCTACAAGAAATTTTACTATAAAGGCACAGATTGGATATAATGAAAAAGATGAAAAAAGATACAATGTGAATACTAATCAAAAATGCTGGAGTGCCTATATTTAATATCGGAGAAAATACATTTCTAAAGAGAATTATGAGAGATGAAGAGGATCATTTTATGATATTAAGTCAGTTTATCAGAAAGACATAACCTAAAATCAGAGCTTTGAAAAACAGGAAGCAGAAGGACATACATTGTTTGCTGAAATACATAATTGCAGTTGTGAATTTCAGCACACATCTCTCAATAATTCATAGAACAAGCAAACCAACTAGTAAGGATATAAAAGATGAATAATCAAATTTGAACTACTGGACTTCTATAGAATACTTCATGCAATGACAGTTGAATAAATGTTCCTTAGAAGTGCAGATGAAACATGACTAAGATACAAGTCTTGGGACGTAAAACGGGTTCCAATGACTTTAAACAGATTCAGATCATACAAAGTATATTCTCATCACGATGGAATAATTTAGAAATCAACAAAAAAATGAATGAAAAATTGCAAATTGATAAATGACAGACTTCTAAATAACCCATAGGTAAAAGAAGAAGAAAACACTTTGAATAAAAATTTAAAAAAACATTTCAAAAATTGTTGAATATAGTTAAAGCAGTATGCGGGAGAAATTTATAGCCCTAAATAGCTATATTAGAAAGATTTCAAATCTATATTTCAACTATCAGCTCAAATTAGAAAAAGAGCAAATTAAACTCACAGTAAGCAAAAGAAGAGAGGTAATAAAAACGGGTAGAAATTAATGAAATAGTAAACAAAAACAAAATTAATGAAATCAAAGATGATAGTTTGGAAAGAATAAAGTTGGCAAACCTCCAGCCCAGAGGCTGGCAAGTGCATTCTGTGGGTCAAATCTGGTTGGCAGCCTATGGTCTAAGAATGGTGTGTGTGTTTGTAAAAGGTTACCTGGAATAGTGAGAGATGGGGGAGGAAGAGAGGGGAAGTGACAAAGACCATATTTTGCCCACAACGCCTAAAATATTTAAAAAACAAAAAGTGCCAACTCTTGTTCAAGCTGGACTAATCAAGTCAAAAGAGACAATAGCACAATGAAATGTACAAATTTCTTGAAAGACACTTACGGGCTGAATTGTGTGCCCCTAGAATTTGTATGTTGAAACCCTAACCCCCAATACCTCAATGTGAGTGTATGTGGAGATGGTTAGGTTTAAATGAGTCTGTTAAGGAGGGCCCTAATCCAGTCTGACAGTGTCTTCATAAGAGGATATTAGGACACAGGCACGCCAGGGCCAAACATGCCCAGCAGGATGATTCTCCTCAAGTTTAATGTGAAGAGGCAGCAAGAATGTGGCCATCTGCAAGCAAGGGGCCTCCAGAGAAACCTGCTCTTAGCATCTTGGTCTTAGACTTCAGCCTCCAGAACTGTAAGTAAATACATCTCTGTTGTTTAAGGCACCGGGCGTGTGGTCTTTTGTTAGGGCAGCCCTAGCATACTCATAGACACAAACTGCTGTAGAAACATTAGATACCCTGAGTAGCACCTGTATCTATTAAGTAAAATGAATCTGTGCCTTAAAGCTGTCCTGTAAAGGAAACTCCAGGCCTAGATGGCTTTTCTGCTGAGTTTCTACCAAATGTGTTCTGGAAATTGGAAAGGAAAGAATTCCCAATTCATCCTACGAGGCCAGCCTTACCCTGCTATCAAACCTGGAGTAATGACAAGAAAACAGAGCAATATTCTTTATGAACATAAATGTAAAAATTCTTAAAATTATGGTAAATTAAATCTAACAATATATAAAGAATAAAATATATGTACTGCACCCAACATAGGAGCACCTAAGTATAGGAACCAAATACTAACAGACCTAATGGAAGGAATAGTCGGCAATATAATAGTAGGGGACTTCAGTGCCTGCCCTTACACTGATGGTAGATCAGCCAGACGGAAAATCAACAAGGAAACACCAGCCACAAATGACACGTTAGATTAGATGGAATTAACAGATACATACAAAATATTCTATCCAAAAACTGCAGAATACACGTTCCTCTCAAGTACACCTGGAACATTCTCCAGGGTACATCACATGTTAAGCCACAAAACAAGTTTTAATTCAAGAAAAATTAAAATCATAAAGAAGCACCTTTCATACAACAGTGTTATGAAACGTGATTTTATTTTTACAGCAATTACCACTATTTAAATTAGCTTATCTGTTTCCCTGTATGCTTTTTTGTTGTCTCGGTCCTCCCACTAGAATAACTATGAATGCGGAGCCCTTGATTATTAGTTCATACAAGTAGATCAGTGAATTCCTGCTCTTAGTAATGAAGCTCACCACTGTAATTCAGTACCTAGAGCATTTATCTGGACCAATTAGGCACTAAATATTTCCTTAAAGAGTGTTTAATGTCACCATAAATATTGACTGTCAAAAGCATGGGATGATGTATATAACAAATCACATTGTGTTATCTTTTCCACAAGACTTATGACTGTGTTACCTAAATAATTGTATTATTTATTCAAAGATAGGTAAATAAAAGTAAACAACCTGTGGGAAGACAAGAACCACGTTTTCCTGACCTCGGAGTTGGGAGCATGCGCGCTTTCCCTTACGCACCTTGCGCGTCTCCTCACCGCTCAGCTGCCCTCTCTGGAAGCTGCTCTCGCTTCTCTTTCTTTTGCATCATCTGCCATGGATAGTACGTGCATGCACGTTTGTGTTTGCAGATAACAGATACAGCTCAGTAGCTAGCTAGGTATTCTTTTTTCTTCTTTTACCAAATTGATAGTACGGAGTGTGTCAGCGAACCTGAGATTTATCAACTGCGTTATCATAGAATAGCATTACGGTGGGTTTCCAAACTGTGTCACCGGCTGCTTAAATCTAGCATTTCATTTTACAATTGGAAAAGTAATCTCGTCGCCCTCTCTCTTTCAGTATGCACAGATTTTAAGAGAAAGACTGAGGGAATCAATTCATGATGTTCAGTATGTGGAGCCTCCATTTGACGATTCAATTGCCGATATAGGTAAAGAGTGGAAGAGTGCCCTGGCAAAACTACGATTTGCTAACTCATACAGAATGGAGCCATTGAAAAAGTTCCAAGCTTATTCAGTAGAAGCTAAAGTCCAGCAGCTCCTAAAGGTAGGGTGATAGGTATATATGATAGCAATATCTTAGCTGTTGGTGCTTGATACGCTATATTCAGATTTATGGCAGTATAATTGCCCTGATTGATTTTTTATAGCATTTATCTCAAAGTATGAAAGTACTCTGCAGTCCTGCCAAGTCCTCACATCGATGCCATGAGCCAGGTTCAAGGGAACCTCCTTCCATTATTTCATTCATTTTTTCATTATCCATAAATTATCTCTCGGTTTCCGTGTTCCTCCCATAATTGGAGGAATGAATAAAAAAAGAACATGTTGACTATGTATATATGTGTGAAAAATTGGTTCCTGCCTATGCTGAAACATCTTAAGAATAGGCAATCCCTAGTTTAGACTTAGGTTGTTTTCTTTTAACAGACTGAGATGTAAAGTTTATTCGAGACAGACATATGTTTCCAGGCTCGTTCAAAAAAGTTTCTTCGATTTCCTAAAACTGATGCTTTAATACTAACGCAGAGTCATGTGTACTAGTGGCGCCATCTGAAGGCTGCGTTGTCCTGATGGAAGGGATGCCCTTCACCATCTTTCCTGATAAAGGACCGAGTTACAGCTTTTTTACTTACAGAAAGTGTGTCGAGGGACCACTTTTTCTGAATCCGTTTTTCACCTTTGGTCCTAGTTCTGGACCCCAGGCACCCGGGAGTTTTCTGTGACCGGATCCCCTTTGCGGCACTCCCCCAAGCCGAATCCTACCCCAGAGGCGTTCCTTGTTTTAAAATTACCGCCCACCCTCCAGCTTACAAGATGCATTTCTTCAGTAACAACTGATGTGAGCTGGCTATTGGGAAGCAAGCAAATGTTTAATTTATTTTGTAAAAATAATTAATACCCCTTTAATTCTTTAAATGAATTCACCTTTATTAATATAGAAGAATAGTTAAGCAACTTACTCTCCAACCTCCCTCCACTATCACAGATATAGGTGCATTTTTAAACCGAACTGTCAGATGATATGGCTTGTGGCTACAGGAAATAAGTTAATTGAACTCAATGTAATAAAATAATAATTGATTCCCTTCTTCTCAGTTCTGAATATTAATAGGAAGCATTTGTGATGTGAGGGCATACAGTTGTCTGTGAGGGCATCATGTGTCTCTCACTCAGCCCTATCACATAAACTGCGTTCAAATTTATTGAAAATAGTAGGATTTCAAATTGTATTTACATATGATAATTTATAGAATTTCATTGAGCACGATGGGCCTGGAACAGTTTATTGGATATGTAGGCGGATGCTAGGGGTCTTCAAGAAACCAAAGATTTCCTCGGGTTCGAGGAGCACCGAGCACAGTTCTGGGCACAAACAGTATGTACTGGTGGAGCTCATGGCACCGTCCTGTGGGAAGTGCTCACGGTTCATTGAAAAAGGGCCCTTAGGTAGCTAAAGCTTGGGGCGTGGTGGGCAGATTCAGAGGAGAGAATGCATGTGAGTGTCCAAGAGAAAGAGCCACAGCCAAAGGCCTGAGGGAAATAAATACTTCTAGACCTCGTTTTAGATCCAGAAGCATTCTAGAAGGAACCAAAACAGCAACAAGAGAGCCATTTCTTTGGTTTTACAGGCCTATAAAATAGCTGGCAGGAGCCCAAATATTTGTTGCCACCGGAACCCAGATAGTTGGTTACTTTAGCGTTGGCCCAAGTCATTTAATCAAAAGCATGTGCCATCTGCTCGCTGGATGGTCCAGGTCTGCTGATGGTTTGCATGAGGACCCCCCAAACCTGGACTGCAGACCAATGCCAGTCAGTGGCCTGTCAGGAACCAGGCCGCACAGCAGGAGGTGAGAGGTGGGCAAGTTCACGAAGCTTCATCTGTATTTGCAGCCGCTCCCCAGCGCTGGCATCATCACCTCAGTTCCGCCTGAGAGTATCAGGCATTAGATGCTCACAGGAGCACTGGTCCTCTGGTGCCACAAAGGTTGGGGACCCCTGGTTTGCAGGAAAGTATAGTGCTTTACGGCCCACACCTATCTCCCCGCATCTGTACACTAATTCATTAACAAAGGTGATGAAAATTTTTGATTTCCTTGGCATTATCCTGGAGGCCACAGAAAAAAGCAATCAGGTGGAAAGCCATGGGGAGAGCTGAGGAAGACGGGTCCATGATGCATGCTCTGCGTTCAAGTAACCCTTGCTTTAGGAAAACCCAAATCTGAATTTTAGCAAATATACAGATTTTAAAAAGATTTCTTTCTCCTACATAAGGATTCTAAGAAGCTTTCTTTTAAAATTCCCCTGTCTCCCTAAAAACTGTTCGATAGAACAACCTAATAAAAGGAGACTTACAACTTAAAGGTTGCTAATGAAGAGTCACTGAACATAATTTAAAATCCAAAATAAGCTTTCTTTCAAATTGTTATTGAAATAAATTGGTAAGCATTACATTTGTTTAATATTATTTGGTTGGGAACATGTATTTTTTTTTTAAAGTTATATGTATTATTTCGACACATTTTCTACTTGAATTTTTAGAAAATATTTGGTTTTAAAATTAAAAATTTTTTTTTTAAAGGAAAGTCTTAAAGATGTCAAATATGACGATAAAGCCTTCTCTCATTTGTCGCTTGAATTAGCAGACCGAATATTGATAGTGGTCAAAGAATTTGGGTACTACCGTTATAAGTTTATTATAAAAGTATTATTTATTCAAAAGGCTGGTCAGGCAATAAATGTAAGTACCCCCATTGATCTAGCATCTATCAATTAGAACTATAAGGTCTCTCCTCTCTAGTGATTTGATATTTATTGGCATATCTCCAAGGCATTGCAAGATCTTGTGCTTGTGGAATGAAATGATAATTTTGTTAAGAATATGTTCTTTCACTGTATGTTATTTGAAAAGTACTAACTTATAAATGACATTTTTCTATTGATAACTTATTAAATTGTATAGCTAGCTTCCTTGATCGTACCAGTTTTGACAATTTAATGTCATTTAATAATTAACCAGTAAATTCATTTTAGGCAGTAATGGGTGTCAGGTGCTGGGGAAATTACGAAGAATTATAAGACATGGGCCATGATTCTCAAGGAGTTTTTACTCTAGTTGAGAAAATAAAGCGACTCAGTTTAGAGTTTAAGAAAATAAAATAATTTGGGTAGTGTAACAGCTTAGGTCTGAGAGTCCAGTTGGCCTAGATATGAATCCTGGCAGCAACACTCATGCTGTGGCCTGCGCAGGGTTTTTTTAATCTATAAAATGGGGAAGATAAAACCTCTTGCTAGAGTTGTTGTGAGTAACTAAATGAGATTATCTGCATTAAAATCCTTAACATAGTCTCAAGCACAAGAGTCCTCAATAAACAGCGAGATTATTGTTATTATTTACAAATAAAGATGCAAAACCACTAGGCTGTGTAAGTTTCTAGTGAGCTGAGAGTGAATCTGTGGAGCGGGGCACACTCTGCAGGCGTGGAGGAGTGAACTGTGTGTGGAAGCGTGGAGAGGAGGAGGTAGACGGGCAGACAGGTGACTCGCAGGGAGGAGAGAATTGCCACAGGTACTGTGCGTGCACCTGAGTAATGCGGAAGGCCCTTCTAGATGGTGATCAGGGCTCTGGCGAGAGCATTAAGGCAGGGCCAGGTGGTAAGAGTGACCAAGTTGGATTGTCTAGGGGTAGGGAAGGCCCTCTGACAGCTGAAGGGCAAGAAGAAATGAGCTGTGCCGAAGATCAGAGGGAACGCCTAAGCAGAACACGGAGGGCAGAGATGCTGACGCGGGGTGGACTTGCTGTGCTCCATTAACACCCGGGGCTTTTTTACGTGGGGGTCTCCTCGGCATTTTTTTCCACGGAGGCGAGAGCAGACGCCTCTCTAGGGCCTGGCTTGGAAGTTGCACAGTGTCACATTCTTTTGCTCGAAGCAAGTCCCGGTGCCAACTGATATTCAAGGGGTGGAAAATAGACTCAGCCTCTCGATGGGAGAAGCCATAAGTGATCTGTGACCGTTTTAGATGCGCCACAGAAAAGCAGGCTGTAGCCAGATCATGTGTGGCTTCATAAGCGAAGCGCAGGAGTTAGGACTTTGTCTTAACAGCCTCCTGTATGATCAGTGCCATGTCTTCATTTCAAGACACGGTCCTAACAAACTTGTGGTTGAAAATCTTTTAAGGGTGGGAAGAGTAACTGACTCCTTGCGATGGACTGTAACGCAGCAGAGTAGCGTTGCATGCAGAACTGCTGGGTGCAAGTTCCAGGGGGCCTCCCGTCCCCTCCCCACCTCTCTGCCAAGGTGGGGGTGTTAGAGGACCTCCAGCTGGCAGAAGAGAAGCCAGACCCAGGAAGCATCACTGTTAAGTCTTTTCAGGAAAGGGGAAACTGGACAGAGCGTTTTGTAATTATGACTTCCTAAGATACTGATACATCTTTTAAAAAAAATCACACGCGTAGATCTTTAAATTCTTAATATGTTCAACCTAAAGTTGATCTTTTTAAAATTCCTTGTAGGTTGCCAGCCGATGGATCTGGGATGTTGCGTGGGACAGCTGGGTCGCAGCCAAACACGAGACGGAGACTTACGTGGCCTTGGCCTTGGTATTTGCTCTGTATTGTGAATAGTTTGTTACATGGAGTAAAGAGTGTTTGCTTCTCAACTTTCCAAAAACACATGAAATTTATAGATTTGCAAACCTCACAGTAGTTTTAATTAGCTATATTTTTATCTTTAATCGAAGCTTGATAACTTATTTTAACAACGAATAAAAGCTGGATTTCTACCTTCGTACTTACTAGTTATCATTTTTATTAACACTCTATTACCCAAAGTAAAAAAGATATATATGAATATATGATTGCTTAGAGTGGATTATAATATGGGAAAATTATTTATCATTCTTAAATTTAAGAAAATTATAATTTGCTACAGGAAATTATGATATCACCTTATAAAGTATCAAATTAAGCAAATGTTAAGATAGATTTTGGAAAACTTCTAAAGGCAGATGTATTTTGAATGATACTCGAATACGTCGTGTGCATTCTTTCGAAAAGAATTACCAAGTTTGAAAGAAAAAGTATTAAATACTTCCCTAACTAATACCTCTCCCCAGTCAAACGCTTCCAGACGTGTGGTCTTTCTATTTGTTAGTCTGATAATTAGGCTCTTTTTAGACGCAAAACCCAAGAAAACCCAATACATTATTTTTTTAAAACAGAGGAAAATTGTATTTCCCAGGCGTTTGATCGCAGATCCAGGCTCTTTGTCTTCTCCTTGCAGACCTCCTCGTTACATTTGCTTAACTTGACAGGATTTAATCACAGTCCCATGACTGGACTGGTCACGATTCACTCCTGGGGGCTGGGGCCGAGCCCACTCCCCGAGGCATATGGCCGTGTGAAACCAGCGGAGCCAGCTGTGAGTGGTAGTCATGTCCACTGCTCTGGCTAGGAGCAGGGGTAGGGCGTGGGGGAGGCAGCCCATAACGCATGTGACAACCCGCGAGGTTTTCATAGTTATAAGCCACGCGCTGCATAACAGCGTTTGGGTCAGTGACTGACCACATGCACGTATGGTGGTGGTCCCATGAGACTGTCACAGAGCTGAAAAATTCCGATTGCCCAGTGACGCGGTGGCCATCATAATGGTGTGGCACCACACAGTACAGCTGCCTGCGGTACTCCGTACAGTAATGTGCTGTCCAGGCTTGTGGCCAGGAGTAGCGGGCCACACCTTACAGCCTGGGTGTGTGGTAGGCTGGGCACCTAGGTTTGCGAAAGTGCACTCTGATATTCCTACAATGACAAAATCGCATAATGACGCATTTCTCCCGAAGCAGCAGCTGGCTGTCGGGCAGGCAGACTTCGGAGACACTGCAGCGCAGGTTCAGGCCCCCACAGGAAAGCGAATATGGCAATAAAGCGAGTCGCATGAATTTTTGGTTTTCCGGTGCACATAAATGTTGATGCTATACTGTAGTCTACTAAATGTGCAATAGCATTATGTCCAAAAAACCAATGTACTTACCTTCATTGAAAAATGCTTTACTGCTAAAAAATGCTAACATCATTGGAGCCTTCAGCGAGTTCTAATCTTTTAGCTGGTGGAAGATCTTGCTTCAGTGTTGATGAAACCACAGTATCTGTGAAGTGCAACAAAGCGAAGTGCAGTAAAATGAGGTTTGCTCGTAATTAGAACCTGAAACACCGATTCAAACTTAATGGACAGTAAAAATGCCCATTATTGAAGAATCTGTAAACAGGAAGACAGAAAGGTACAAGAGAGTATTTTTTCCACTCATGCATCGTGATGACTTGGTTAATCCAGGATTAATAGTTTCACATGACACAGCATATACATGACGGCTGCAGCCCTAAGAACCTCCAAAATAGGAGTTATCAGTTGCTAACCTTGGCCACAGGAAATAATAGTAATAACAAACCTGTGACATAGTTCACGGTAAGCGATGTACTTCCCTGATGAGCTTGTCAGTAAGATGCACTGCTTCATAGTTGAGTTGACTGCCTTATACATATAATTGTGTATAAAATGAGAATTTCACCTTCCTCCTAAGGTCACTGCTGTATGTGAATTGTTAGGTAATATATAATCGAGCACTTACGCCCAGCACTCGGCATTGCCCTGGAGCACACCAAGTCCTAAAATGTTACCTGTCGTTATTCAGTCCGACATCTCAGAATTACCTTTAGCTCTACCTTTTCTTTTGCCCATATCCCAACCCCCATATATATTTAGTTGTTCAATTTTGTAGATTCTAATTTTTTGAAGTGACTCACAGTTAACTTCAGTCACTATAGAAATCTGAACACCCCCTAACCTGACTCCCGGCTTCTCAAAGCTTTTCACAGTGGGTTATTGGCCTTCCTTCACATGGTTCGTAGAGTTCCTCTCTGTTCCCAGTCTCTCCTCCAGATGTATTTTGACTTTCTGTCCTTAACAGCAACCCGGCTTTTCCGTGACGGAGATGCCCACAGCCCTCTCAGGTGGAAGCTGGTTTCTCTCAGCCCCCATGCCTCAGAGCCGGAGGCAGGGTAGGCAACCCTCTGACCTTCAGAACTCCAGCTCCTAGAAATGAATGTCTCTGGATATACAGTCCTTACCTCTGCGCGTCACCTTGGTTTGTTCCTTCTCATCATGGGAAGACTTGAGCTACCGGATCACAAGCTCCATCTCCACTCAGCTCCTGCTGCCCTTCTCTGTGACTTCGATATCCCTGTAGCTCATCGCCCAACAAGGCAGCCCTCGGTTCGCACGGTTCTGATACGCACACGTTTTACTCACACTTCGTTAAGTAACACCAGCCCCTCGACGACATTGTTCAAATTTCAGTGACCACGATAGATTAACTGTGAGTAATTTCGGAAAGTACAAACTTCACAGCTAGCTCTTCAGTCCACACATCGCTATGTAGATAACATGGCATCTTGATCCTTTTTATCCGTCTGTCATTCATTGGTCACTGCACATCTGTTATTCAGCTCTTCAGTTCTCAACACAGACAACAAAACTTGTAGTTCTGTTGACTCCATGTCTCCCAGTGACAAATCCATGTGATGTTTTTTTAAAAAAATGAACCATTAAAAGAAGGAATTGACCAAAAAAGATGAAAGTGCATCGAAGAAACAAGAAGTGACGATGCTAGAAATGAAGTTGAGTGTGATTAGGGAATTTCAAAATGCAAACAGCGGAGCTGAGGTCAGATGAGAACCCAGCCTGGCTGGAGGTGCTGTAGGAACCATGGGGAGAAAGTCCATGCGCAGAAAAGACAAGGTGAACTTGCAGCCACGTAATCAGTTGCTCTCGCAACGGAAAGCCGCTGGTGCCAAGAAAGACTTTCTTCTACTTTGGATAGAAGACTCTAATAAAATAAAAATCCCAATCAGTTTGGCTAGCGTTTGGGCCAAAGTGTTCAAGTTGGTTGCCATGTTGAAAGAAAACTAATTACAAAGACCCTGAAAAACAACCTTTACTTCCAGCAAAGCCCAGTTCCATCACTTTGTAAGTCGATGTGAATCGAGTGTTGAGCTATCTAGTAAGCAGCCAGCCCAGACCAGGATGCTGCTGTGAAATCAGATTAGTTCCAGCTGTGATTACTTGTCACAAAAGAACGAAGATGTCCAGAGGAAGTGACACTGATAAAAGTTTCCCTTTAAAAGGGAATTTTTACAACGTTGAAAATGCAAAAAATAAAATGTCGGAAATCAATCCAAACCTGGAAAGGCATATGCCGACTTATCAAGGTATAGAAAATGTAAGTTTCAGGATGAGAAGAAGACTAACAGTGCAAACTACTCTTGGTAAAGTTTTTACATAGAAATAAAACACCAATTCTCAATGTTTCCCATGTTTTAAATTACAGTGTACTAAATAAATGTAAGTTTCACAATAGAAAAAAATTCCATACACATTTATAATTGGCAGTAAGAGAGTTTTTAATGTTTTAACAAAAGTCTTTTTAAAGTCATAGAACAGTCACATTTTTCTTGGTCTGTGAAGTTTGCTTTGGACGATTTGCTCTGGAGTCGCCTGTGCGGTGCTGTGTGGTGACACAAAGCCAGGTCTGTGCGTCCTCGAGCTTCTCAGTGCCTGACTAACTCACGGCCAATGACCTTCGCCTTAAGCCCCGCTCCGGAACCTACTCTTTGGTTCACCCTGTAGACCCTGTTATCATCGATGTCAGGATGACCTCTCAACTCTCAGTCCGAGCAGGCTGTTCTCATGCGATGATTTCCTCCTTCCCGCCCACCGCCTGTCGTGCCCTGAAGAGGGCCCTTCTCTTCCAGCGCATTGAAATCTCCAATTTGTTGCCCTTTCCTGCTGGTTAATAGCCCTCTCCACCTCCTCGTTCAGCTTAGATGTCGTGGCCCATCATTATACTCACTCCCTAACAAACATTCCAGATTCCTTTGCCCCTCTTCATCCGGGAAAACCATTTCAGTGAACCCCTTTATCGCTTTCCTAGCCTGAATTCAGTAGCTAAACTTGACCAAGAACGTCGCGAAACCAGACTGACTGGTTGCACTCTATAGCCATGACCGCGAGCCTCCAGTGGGCAGACCGCTTGGCACCCTAGGGACTTTGCTCTTTACCTGCCACACCTTCTCTCTCCTCCCGCTCCGGTATTCCTATCCCCCTCTCCTTGCAGCTGATGATCTCGCCTCCTAATTCGTGGAGAAGTATCAGAGGAAAACCCTTCAAATTCTCTACCACCGAATCTCTAAACCGACTTGATTGGCAGCCGCATTGTTTTCAGTCCTGTGACAGTGGATGGATCCTGCTGCCCCTCTTCAAAGGCTTGTCGCCTTCTCAAGGGCCACCTCCCAGCAGCTATCTTCTCTCTCCTCAGCATCACGATTCTCCCCTCCTACTGAGTCGTTTTGGTCAGCATGCGGACATCTTCAAACCAATGACAAGCCACCCCTCCGGCCACCCTCTTTGTTACTCTTTACCGTCAACTGCTCTCTAGACTCTGGCTCCAATCCTCGCCTCCTACTGCTTCCTTAACGGACTTCAACCGAGCTTCCCAAACTGCCACTCCATTAACAGCTGGAAACAATTAAGATTGCTGATCGCTCTGAAACTGCTAAATACGATGGACCATGCTGCCTTCATCTAACGCAGCTCCTCAGTTGACAGAGTTGACCAGTCTTTCTTTCAGGAACATTCTATCCTCTCGGCTTAACAATACTTGACAATTTTCTTCCTATCCCTTCGTTATTTCCATGAGTATCTCTGGACTTCCTGGTCTTGGGCCTTTTTCTCACTTGTATCTCTACATATTCTAAGTGGTCCCATACAGTTTTATGGCTTTTTCTCTTCATTGTATTGCTGGTGCCTAACTCAGTGCCTAATTTAATAAAAAGTAAGGTAGTATCTGATGAAGGAATGAGTGAATAAACGATTCTGTATGTTTCCATTACCTAGCATAGTTCTTAGTCCACAGTTGGTTTCCATTGTATATTTGTGAAATAATTGAATGGACAATAGTATTACGATTTTGAAAACGAGGAAATGGAGGATCAGAGTATAATTTACCCATGATCACACAGCTAGTAAGTGGCACAGCTGGTATTCAAACTAAAGCCTTAATTTCAAATTTTTCATCTCACCATTACACCGTACTGCCTCCCTGTATGTTGTGTCCCAAGCTCCTAGAATCTGCCTTCTCTTACCCTATCTCAAGCCAAACTGGGATGACAGACACCTGAATACGCTTCCTATTTTCCCACCTCTCAGTCTTTTGGGACTTGAAACTCTATTTCCGCTTCCAATTACATATTCATCTGTAGTTGTCCTACGGAGTTAAGATACTTTTCAAGTTTCATGTCAATCTTAAAATCTTAATTTTTCTAGTTTCAAGTAAATTTTCTTCCATCTAAAGTGCCTTTAAGTACAATCTTCTATTTGCATCAGTATTTGTATCATATTCTTTCAGCATTGAAAATGCCTATAGGCAGGGATCGTAATCCACACAGTGACTCCTGGACGTTCTGCCTTGCATTGGCTGAGGGCTGTATCAGTATTTGCTGACTTGGAATGAAGAATTTTAAATTTGGATTTTATCGATACAGCATTCCCAAAGGAGAAGAGTAGAACCAAAAAATGGAATGTATATACATTAAACTCTATCCAGACAATCCAAGGGCCTTGATCAGTAAAGAGAATTTGGGAGAAAGAGGTTGATCTTCTTGGTGGATTCAGTCAGTTAAGAGCATTTTCTTTAGTGAGTTCTTGGTAGGAGAATGAGGAGCTGGTCTGACTGAGAAAGCAAAGTCTAAACCAGGAGCGGTTTGTGAGACTTAAGTTGTTGGTGATGCCATTTGTGATTGGATGCCAGCGGGGAGTCAGGGAGAGTGGGCTGGGAGAGTCAAAGTAGGCCTTTGTGTTAACGTCCTAGGTTAGAAGTAATCCCCTTATGTTTCAAACTTTGTTTGCTGAGTATAAGCAAAAATAATGAAAAGGAAGCCACATTCAACTCTAAACCCCAAAACATTCTCTATTGCGCTGAAATGAGTCTTGTACATTCCAAGAGAAATAAAATGTCTGCTGAGAGGTCAAGTTTAACAAATTTCTGGCACCTGTCATCTCAGTAACAGCTGTCTGCCCTGTGTTAAGGTTCAGTTCCAGACTTAAAAAAAAACTTTGGTCGAGTCCTAGAAGTGACCAGGTGAAGCCTAAGAACTAGGCCTAACAATAAATTCAGTTCCCGGAAAACGGCTCCCATTTTCTTGGTGCCTTTTATGGGCCTACCAAGCACTATGGCCTTTACCATAATCCCGAAGATTCAGGATTTCTCCCCTCTTTACAGATGGAAGAGGTGAAATGAGTTGCCAAGCACCGGAGTCGGAGTCCAAAGGTCAGCGTGTCCGCACACGTCCTGTGACTCGCGTGCGGGGAGCTCCCTGCAGGCGCCGCAGCCTCTTTCCGTCCTCCCCGCGGGCCACCGCGTTGTGTCTCATGGGCGCTGCTGGATCCGTCACGCTCCAGGCAGCCGCACGCGTGCGGCCGGGTCCCAGCGCCTCTTGCATTTCGTGAATTCGGCGCGCATCGAGGGGGCTGTGGCTAAACTTTTCCAGTGGAAGCGGCCGAGGCCGCCGCCGGAAGGGACGCGGCGCCCG